GAGCCCAGGAGGCGGAGGTTGCGGTGAGCCGAGATTGTGCCATTGCGCTCCAGCCTGGGTAACAAGAGCGAAACTCCGTCTCAAAAAAAAAAAAGATTTACTACTATGTTTTGTAAGTATTTTGTAGTTTTAGCACTTAGAGTTAGGTATAATTCAATTTAATTTTTTTGTATGGTGTGAGGTAGGGGTCTAAAATCATCCCTTTAGAAAAAAAGTCATCCTTTTATGTGTGGATATTTCATTGTTCCAGCACCATTTATTGAAAACACCTCTTTCCACAATCAAATTGTGTTCTAATAACTCTTATCAAAAATCTATGACCGGCCGGGCGCGGTGGCTCAAGCCTGTAATCCCAGCACTTTGGGAGGCCGAGGCGGGTGGATCACGAGGTCGAGAGATCGAGACCATCCTGGTCAACATGGTGAAACCCCGTCTCTACTAAAAATACTAAAAATTAGCTGGGCATTGGTGGCGGGTGCCTGTAATCCCAGCTACTCAGGAGGCTGAGGCAGGAGAATTGCCTGAACCCAGGAGGCGGAGGTTGCGGTGAGCCGAGATCGCGCCATTGCACTCCAGCCTGGGCAACAAGAGCGAAACTCCGTCTCAAAAAAAAAAAAAAAAAAAAAAAATCTATGACCATCTCTTTTTGTGCCACCGTAGTGGTGCACATGAATGTCCTGACCGATGCTCTTAAGAGCATTAACAATGTCAAAATGAGAGGCACACCTCAGATTCTTAGAAGGCTGTACCCCAATGTTACTGTCTAGTTTCTGACTGATGATGAAGCATGGTTACAAGGGTGAATTTGAAGTCATTGAGATGACAGAGGTGGGGAATTTGTTGTGAACCTCACAACAATTTCAAGTTAAACAAGTATGACAAGCCTCAGATTTCATATGCAACAGAAGGTTTAGAAAAGTGGCAGAATAATCTGCTTCCATGTCATCAGTTTGGTTTCATTATACTGACAACTTTGGCTGGCATCACAGACCATGAAGAAGCAAGATGAAAACACACAGGAGGGAAAACTCTGGGATTCATCTTCTTGGGGATATAATACATACAAATAAAATGTCTCAACCGACAAAAAACCAATTGATCGTAAGTTTTATTTCTGTTCTCTCCATTCTGTTCCTTGGTTCCATATGTCTCTCCTTATGCTAGTACTATCCTGTAGTGCTTGCTGTAGCTTTGTAGTAAGTTTTCAATTGGAAGAAAAGGTCCTCCTACTTGTTTTGTTGTTGACTATTCTGGATCCTTTTTACTTCCATATACAACGTAGGTTTAGTTTTGTTCATTTCTGTACAAAAGACAGCTGGAATTTTGACAGCTATTGCATTGCATCTATAGATCAATTTGGTGATATGGCCATTTTAGCAATATAAAGTCTTGGCCAGGCGTGGTGGCTCATGCCTGTAATCTCAACACTTTGGGAGGCCAAGGCAGGCAGATCACTTAAAGCCAGGAGTTTGAAACCAGCCTGGCCAACATGGTAAAACCCTGTTTCTACTAAAAATACAAAAATTAGCCGGATATGGTGGCACTTGCTTATAATCCCTGGTACTTGAGAGGCTGAGACACAAGAATTGCTTGAACCTAGGAGGCGGAGGTTGTAGTGAGCTGAGATTGTACCACTGCACTCCAGCCTGGGCAACAGCAAGACTCAGTCTCCAAAAAAACAGTCTTTCTCATGAACATTGGCTGTCTTCCATTTATTTAAATGATCTTTTTTTTTTTCTTAACAATATTCTCTAGTTTTCAGTGTCCTATAGTGAATGAAATTGTTTTATTTTTGGTTTATCGTAGTGTATAGGAATGGGATTTATCTTGTATGTTGATCTTATGTAAACTTGTGTTGAACTGGCTTATTCTAGTAGTTTTTTAGTAAATTCTTTTTGATTTTTCTACATAGAAGTTCATATTTGTCTTTATCTTGTCATTTTTATAATGTAAATTATTTTTACTGATTATTATTTCTGTAATCCATAAAAGACCTTTAAATTTAGAATTTCAGGGGTTTTTTTTGTTTTCAGACAGAGTCTCACTTTGTTACCCAGGCTGGAGTGCAGCAGATTTGGCTCACTGCAACCTCTGCCTCCTGGGTTCAAGTGATTCTCATGCTTCAGGCTCTGAAGCAGCTGAAATCACAGGCATGTGCCACCATGCCTGGCTAAATTTTTTCTGTAGTTTTACGAGAGACAAGATTTTACTATGTTGGCCAGGCTGGTCTCGAATTCCTGGCCTTCAGTGATTGTCTGCCTTGGCCTCCCAGAGTGCTGGGATTACAAGCATAAGCCACCATTCCTGGCTAAGTTTTTTTTTTTTTTTTAATTTTTAGTGGAGATGGGATTTTACCATGTTGCCTAGGCTGGCCTTGAACCCCTGGCCTCAAGTGATCTGCCCACCTTGGCCTCCCAAAGTGCTAGGATTATAGGCATAAGCCACTGCTCCCAGCCTAGAATTTAGGTTGATGGAAAATTCTTACTCTCGTGTCTTGTCAGGTAGATATATGACTTTTTAATTTTTTCTTATGGTTCCTTGTATACAGCAGGTAATCATCGTTGTGAAAAATAAGGGTAAAATCCAAATTGTGTCGTATTTAAGCTTCATCAAAATAGATGGTACCTTAGATGCAGAATATAATTGTCATTTATAACCTTAAATTTCTAGTGGTCCAATGTTTACTTTGGCTGTTTTTATCTTGATTATATTTTGAGAGTACTAGAGACCTCAGGCTTAATTTATGAAAGATCTTTAGGCAAACGGAATAGAATGTGGCAGGACAAAGCTGTGAAAGTAAGTTGTATGCTGTGGAAATGACCGTTTATACCTAGTCTGGAAAAGTCTAAGTCACTAGTAATAGAATATATGCAGAAATCCTGACGGTCTTCGCAAATGAGACTGCATATCTGCCTGAGCAAACACCGTCTTTGAGTGAATGCTAGTTGTATAGGAGGAAAGCAGTGAATCAGAAGTAAAGAGTTTGGGTGATTCTTATAGTTTGGCAAGAGCTGACTTATATGACCCGTTGAGAAATTATTTAACTCTTAGTTTCTGTTTCTGCCTCTGTAAAAATGAAGCGGTGTGGCTGAAGAGGGGCTAATGTCCTACTCAGACCAAAAGTTCAGCATTTCTTCTTTCTCTAGTCTCACAGTTGCCCATAAATTGATTTGAAATCTTACATTGGGATCGCTTGGCAGCCTTTAAAATATGTGTATGTCAATGTCTGGGTTTGGTTCTCTTGAGTTTCTAATTTTTAATTTGTTGGGGTAGTATCTCATACTAGAGCGTTGTTTAAAAAAAAAAAAACAAAAAAACTCCCATGGTGATTCTTACTTGCAAATTAGTTAAAGACCATTGACTGCTTTATCAGCATAAAAGGTTAAAAGCAACTTAATGTCAAGTAATAGTTTCAGTCTCCCATTATTTTTTAAATTATGAAATATGATGCTGATGGAAATAGCAAGAGTAAAGTAATGTCACAGCATTTTTATGGTTTATGAAGTAATTTGATATGTTAAGTCACTGAAGCTGACAAGCAGTCCTGTGAAACTAGGAAAGTGCTGATCACCCCCAGTTAGCAAATAAAGGAATTAAGTGACTTGCTTGAGGTTATTGTGCTAATTAGAGACAGTCTGGGACTGGAGGCACATCTGACTCTATCCTGTTAAACTATCTGTTAGGATTATGTATGATAGATAATTTCAAAGACTTTTGGTCCCTTTTTTTTTTTTGAGACGGAGTTTCGCTCGTTACCCAGGCTGGAGTGCAATGGCGCGATCTCGGCTCACTGCAACCTTCGCCTCCTGGGTTCAGGCAATTCTCCTGCCTCAGCCTCCTGAGTAGCTGGGATTACAGGCACGCGCCACCATGCCCAGCTGATTTTTTGTATTTTTAGTAGAGACAGGGTTTCACCATATTGACCAGGATGGTCTCGATCTCTTGACCTCGTGATCCACCCGCCTCGGCCTCCCAAAGTGCTGGGATTACAGGCTTGAGCCACCGTGCCCGGCGACTTTTGGTCCCTTCTTTATGTGTTTAATTATCTTTGAAATGGTACAATTACTAACTCTGAAAGATGAATAAAGGTTAATAATCCAAAGTTATGTATCTATATTACTCTTTAAGCTACTGACTTAAAAAATTCCCTATATATTTTAAATTATGGTTTTTAATTATAGTAAACTATATATTATATGAATTATGTAATAAAAGTAATTTTTAATGGCCACCAATTGAGGTAGAAAACAGACTGGGTGGGAACAGGGTGAAACTAATTGCGTAATATGGTAATGACTCAAGTTGTCACATCAAGTTGGGTGTTCACTTGGCTTGTGTTCCCCGGAGGTTATGGTTGTAGATACACTAGAAGACCCATTCTTCAACTTTCTCCCTTGCGTTAATGGTGATTTAATTTTTATGTATTCTTTCCAACTCCTCCCACTCCCATTTTTTCAAAGGCAGGAAAATATAACTTACGGGCACTATCATACTTTGATTTGCTGTCGTACTGTTGTGCTGTTCCCATGCTCATATATGTGGGTAGTACAGTCTATCCTTTGGTGCAATCACTTCGGATACTTTCCGTCTCCGTGGCTGTGGTTTCCATTAGTTCTTTGTATGCGTGCCTCTTCATGCCTTCGTGTTCCTGGTAGCTAGCTGGTGAATCATCAGTGAGCTGGGCCTTGGAAGTGGTGCTTTGTGGTGGAGTTGATGGTGAGGCTTACTTCTGTCCTTCCTCTCCTCTTAAGAATGTCAGGGATGTGAGGAAGCCCTGTGTATAATTCTGCAGTAATCTCACTGCCTTTCAACTTTTGGCTTTCGTGGAAATGTGAGACAGAACTGCTATGGTGTTCTCACCTGTCTTAGGAAAGACAGCTCTGAGAAGTATAAGAAAGGTCACCTTGAGAAATTCTGTTTTCTTAAGTAACTAATGTTTTAACAGTAAGTATTCAACATTGTCTGTTCCTGTTGGTTCACTGTTCTTTCTCTCCCTTTAGCCCCCCAGGTTCGCCTAATAGTCTTGGCTACTTCCCTACAGCTGCTAATCTTAGCGGTGTCCCTCCACAGCCTGGCACGGTGGTCAGAATGCAGGGCCTGGCCTACAATACTGGAGTTAAGGAAATTCTTAACTTCTTCCAAGGTTACCAGGTCAGTAGCTTGAAGGAGAATAATCCTCAGTGCCCTTATTACTTAAGTTGATTTGCCTAAAGAATCCAGCCAGGAAAGAAACGGATTCTATGAAACTCGTGTGTGTATATGTTAATGGATTTGCTTATGGAAACAAATAGATCTGGAGTCACTGTTGGGGACCAAATTCAGACTCATCCCTTTGTCAAAAACTAAGGCTTTTCCATATCATCTTAAGTCTTCCAACTTAATCTGTTGGTTATTTTTTGAAAAGTGAGCTACTACTTTGGGAAAGCTCTTTAGGGCATACGGCAGTATGAGTGTTCATTTAGAATAGGATTGGCTAAGGGGTTTTACGCAATGTCAAGTGTCAAATCCCTGACTAAACCAATAAGTAGTACTTAAACATGGATTTTAAAGGTGAGTATTTAAAACATACTCAGAGGCCTCTGTATAACCTGAAGGAAAAAAACTGCCTAACTCCTAGGAGACTCATGAGTCTTTAGGTGGTAACACCTAAGAATGAGCTGTCAGGTATTTGGCAGGCCTTTCATAAAATGATCTGGTATTTATTCTTGTGACGCTGATGTTTGCTCTTAGCAGTTTTTTTTCTACCCCATTCTGTGTCCATCAGCTGTTCTCTCACTTAGGCTAAAGAAAGAGATGATTTTTAGTTAGGATTCTTTAACAGTGAACATTGCCATCTCTTCTAAGCAGATACCTTTCTTTCTTCAAGTCACATTATTACCTAAGTCTTAAATTCCTTCTTTCTGCCAATGTCTAAAAAATAAGTAACTTGTTTTTTATCATACTAATCGTAAAAATTGTCCTCTTCCTCCTGGATCTGAACATTGCTTGAATCTTCAGAGTTGAGAAGCTGTTTTCAAGATAATAGTCACATTCTAAAATAGTCCTTGAGCATTTTCAGGGCAGCATTACAAGTGTTGTGTCTGTAGAGGCTATTTGATAATTAGAATGGGTTTATGAGCTTGGCATCAATGAGTCATGGAGGACTGTGGTCTCAACTAAAATTACCTCCGGGGTGATGCTACTGACCCAAACCTACCAAGTTACTGTCCTTTTCTCAGGGACTTTTAAACATACAAAGGACACTTTCTGACAAAATCTATGGCTGATAGTGAAGGACTGAAGGAAAGTGGAAGTCAGCAGATACTCTTCCCTGAGCAATTTTGCTGTCTTCAGAAGGCTTCGAGAGGGATTAAAAAGTTAAACTTCCTGTCTGATTCATTAGATTATAAAAGGAAGATTTTACTGAAAGCTTATTGAAGAGGTTGCTTATTCTTGGCCAGGCGTGGTGGCTCACGCCTGTAATCTAAGCACTTTGGAGGCCGAGGTGGGCGAATCACCTGAGGTTGGGAGTTCAAGACCAGCCTGACCAACATGGTGAAACCCCTCTTAAAAAAAAAAAAAAAGGCCAGGCACTGTGGCTCAAGCCTGTAATCCCAGCACTTTGGGAGGCCGAGGTGGGAGGATCACGAGGTCAGGAGATCGAGACCATCCTGGTCAACATGGTGAAACCCCGTCTCTAAGAAAAATACAAAAAAAGGCCGGGCACGGTGGCTCAAGCCTGTAATCCCAGCACTTTGGGAGGCCAAGGCGGGTGGATCACGAGGTCGAGAGATCGAGACCATCCTAGTCAACATGGTGAAACCCCGTCTCTACTAAAAATATAAAAAATTAGCTGGGCATGGTGGCTCGTGCCTGTAATTCCAGCCACTCAGGAGGCTGAGGCAGGAGAATTGCCTGAACCCAGGAGGCGGAGGTTGCGGTGAGCCGAGATCGCGCCATTGCACTCCAGCCTGGGTAACAAAAGCGAAACTCCGTCTCAAAAAAAAAAAAAAAAAATACAAAACATTAGCTGGGCATGGTGGCAAGTGCCTGTAATCCCAGCTACTCAGGAGGCTGAGGCAGGAGAATTGCCTGAACCCAGGAGGCGGAGGTTGTGGTGAGCCGAGATCACGCCATTGCACTCCAGCCTGGGTAACAAGAGCAAAACTCCGTCTCAAAAAAAAAAAAAGGTTGCTTATTCTTACGGAGAAAACATTTTGACTTGTGTATTTTGTTTTTTCCATTGTTTTCCAAGTTAAGAAAGTTTTTAGTGGTCAGCTGAATTAATCTGTTTTTTGTTTGACTAACTTTTACATTCACACTGAATAGAATTAGCTAGCCTTATGTATAAATTAGTAATGAGATTAACGTAAATTGTTCTCTATTATTAAGAGTGTCAGCTGGGCATGGTGCCTCACGCCTATAATCCCAGCACTTTGGGAAGCTGATGTGGGGAGATCACTTGAAGTCAGGAGTTCAAGACCAGCTTGGCCACCATAGTGAAACCCCATCTCTACTAAATATATAAAAACTGGGCCGGGTGCGGTGGCTCACACCTGTAATCTCAGCACTTTGGGAGGCCGAGGCAGGTGGATCACAAGGTCAGGAGTTCATGACCAGACTGGCCAAGATGGTGAAACCCCATCTCTACTAAAAATGCAAAAATTAGCCAGGCATGGTGGTGGGCGCCTTTAATCCCAGCTACTCGGAAGGCTGAGGCAGGAGAATCACTTGAACCCAGAAGGAAGAGGTTGCAGTGAGCCAAGATCATGTCACTGCCCTCTAGCCTGGGTAACAGAGCGAGACTCCATCTCCCTCCCCCGCCCCAAAAAAAAGTGTCATGGCTGGCATTTGTGAGTATTTATTTATTTATTTTACCACAACCATGCAGTAAGGATTGTTTCTATGTTTCTGACCAAAAGATTCACATTCCTCAAAACTGAAATAACATAACTTCAGTCTGTGGCAGTTTTTCTTTGTAATAACTTCAAGGTTGGAATAGAGTTGTCTGATATAACCAGAAACATAAAGATTGTGCATATTATTTCAATATTTCATCTCAAGGCATTTGGCCTTCATTTCTGAAGTGCTTGGAATTTACTGACTGGATCAATGAGTTAGGATTATATAGGAACTTCAGTTATCTAATTTAACCTGTCAAATTATTCTCATATCTTCTTCAGTAATTTGATCATTAAGGCAGTCATAATACATGCACTAAAAAATCTTTATACCTAACCCAATTTCATATCATTCTTACATAAAATGACTATTTTCTACTGTCTTGAAGAGTCCATGCCTTCTTGTTTCCTGTTCTCAGTTAAATTCACTATGGGGTTCCAGCTTCTTTTGATTTGGCAACCAAGATGGTAAAATCAATGGATAACATTTTCTAAAACCTTGTTCATTTAAGTGTAATCTGTGTTCACCTAGCACATATTGCTGCTGCCAACTTAATGGGAGGTTTTAATTTTATTTCTAGTTATTTTATATAATTATATAACAACTACATAACTAAGCAAATAGCCAGGCAATAATTGGTTGAATAAATAAAATTTCTTTTTTTCTTTTTTTTTGAGACAGTGTCTCACTCTGTTGCCCAAACTAGAGTCCAGTGGTGCAGTCTCGGCTCACTGCAGCCACCACGCCAACCTCTTTTTCTCTTTTCTTTTTTTTTTTTTTTTTTTTTTTTTGAGATGGAGTTTCACTCTTGTTACCCAGGCTGGAGTGCAATGGCGAGATCTCGGCTCACTGCAACCTCCGCCTCCTGGGTTCAGGCAATTCTCCTGCCTCAGCCTCCTGAGTAGCTGGGATTACAGGCACGCGCCACCATGCCCAGCTAATTTTTTGTATTCTTAGTAGAGATGGGGTTTCACCATGTGGACCAAGATGGTCTCAATCTCTTGACCTTGTGATCCGCCCGCCTCGGCCTCCCAAAGTGCTGGGATTACAGGCTTGAGCCACCGCGCCCGGCCGGTCTTTTTCTCTTTTCTATCTATTCTGAAGCTGAAGAAATTTGATGGTCTCTGATTCTGTCCCTTAAAAATACATGTCTTAGGCTGGGCACACAGTGGCTCATTCCTGTAATCCCAGCACTTTGGGAGGCTAAGGCAGGTGGATCACGAGGTCATGAGTTCAAAACCAGCCTGGCCAACAGGGTGAAACCCCTGTCTCTACTAAAATACCAAAATTAGCTGGGCACAGTAGCATGCGCCTGTAATCCCAGCTACTCCAGAAGCCAAGGCAGGAGAATCACTTGAACGCGGGGGAGGAGGTTGCCGTGAGGCAAGATAGCACCACTGCATTCTAGCCTGGGTGACAGATTAATACTCTGTCTCGGCTGGGCGCGGTGGCTCAAGCCTGTAATCCCAGCACTTTGGGAGGCCGAGGCAGGTGGATTACGAGGTCAAGAGATCGAGACCATCCTGGTCAACATGGTGAAACCCCGTCTCTACTATAAATACAAAAAATTAGCTGGGCATGGTGGCACGTGCCTGTAATCCCAGCTACTCAGGAGGCTGAGGCAGGAGAATTGCCTGAACCCAGGAGGCAGAGGTTGTGGTGAGCCGAGATCATGCCATTGCACTCCAGCCTGGGTAACAAGAGTGAAACTCCATCTCAAAAAAAAAAAGACTGTCTCAAAATAATAATAATAATAATCCTGATGTAATAATGTCATATATAATTTTATAAATTATCTTTAAATGTAATTTTTAATGTATTTTCCCCCAACCTTTAACTAAATTTCTTACATAAAACTAGTCTAGTCCAGGCCCAGTGGCTCACCTGAGGCCAGGAGTTCAATACCAGCGTGGCCAACATGCAACATGGTGAAACCCCATCTCTACTAAAAATACAAAAACTAGCCAGCCACGGCAACACACTCCTGTAGTCCCAGCTAGTCAGGTAACTGAGGCAGGAGAAGCGCTTGAACCCAGGCGGTAGAAGTTGCAGTGAGCTGAGAATGCGACATTGCATTCCAGCCTGGGTGACAGAGCAAGATTCTGTCTCAAAAAAACAAACTACCTCAAGTTTGTGTCTTCCATACTTCATCTGGGGTGGAGGTAAAGCCAGAAAGACCAAGGATTTACAAAGACAAACTACCATGAAAATACTTGGTAATGAGGATATCATTCTGGTCCTTAAAGAAACCTGTGTGTACGTTTTAGATGATGGCCTTTCACACTGAATGGACTCTCAGGTATCCTTACATAAGGCCCTTAATATTTTCATTGGCTCTTTGCACAACCCTTTACTGTCAATGTCTTTTACATTTTCAATAAATGCTAGTTTTTGTTTCTCTTCAAAATGCTGACTTTATTCATTGTTTCTTTGGACCTCTCACTACTAACAGTTTTACTTGCTGCCTTATTGAATTAGATTGATATTACAAATACATCAAATGGTATCTAAAATTTACTGCGTTGTTTGGAGATACTGGGTATTGAGCTTATTGTACAATGTCTTGCAAATAACTAGTGCTCAAATATTTGATATTTAATCATACTTGCAGTAGCATAGAAACAGTACTATGCAAGATCTGAAGAAATTGGTCTCCTAAGTTCTTGTGGTATGCTGGGTGTGTGTGTGTGTGTGTGTGTGTGTGTGTGTGTGTGTGTGTGTAATCCATGTTTTCAATCTAACGCCTATCCTAGAAGGGATTTTCATTGTATTTAAACATGTTAAGAAGATTTGGGTTAGTAGATGCGTATATGGCTTGTACCAGTGTTTACTTGTTTCCTCCTGTCTAGATGTCCTATACTATTGTTGGTAGATCTATTTAGTTGAAATATTAACCATCCATAGTGACAGTTTGTCTGTCTTTTGATCCTGTTTGTTTTAACTTGCATTTTAGTATGCAACCGAGGATGGACTTATACACACAAATGACCAGGCCAGGACTCTACCCAAAGAATGGGTTTGTATTTAAGGGCCCCAGCAGTTAGACCATCCTCAGAAAAGAAGGTAAGGCTTTATGATGTACAAGTTAAATTATAAAGGGCCAAACAAATAGACATCAAGATTCTGAAGGCATTTAGCAATCAACTGAGAGAGTCCTTCTTTTCTTTAGTGTAATGTAAAATATCAGATATCCTGGAAGGAATGGAGACTAGAATTAAGTTTGTCATGTAGGTACATATAATCTAAGCAACATTCATGGATGAGAGTTGTATGTTATCGTGAGCCAAGGGAAAACTTTTCCCTTTGGAAATTCATTCACTGTATCTCATGTGGAGTACGAGTTGGGTATTTTTTTTTTTAATTGAGGTAAAAATTATGTAACCATTTTAAACTCATTTACAACTCAGTGATTTTTAGTATATTCACAAAATGATGCGACTACTACCTCAATTTAGTTCTAAAACATTTTTGTCACTCCATTTTCTCTCCCAATAGCTCCTGGCAACTAATATGCTTTCTGTCTCTATGAATTTGGCTATTCTGGATATTTCATATAAATGGAATCATACATGTGACTTTTTCTATGTTTGTCCTTTTTTTTTTTTTCTGGTCCATTTATGAGCTCATGTCTTTTTTTTTTTTTTTTTAATAGGGTTTACCCTTGTAGCACATGTTAATGCTTCATTTGTTTTTATGACTGAATAATATTTCACTGTTGGACGTGCCGCATTTTATTTATCCACTGATGGACATTTTAATCAGTTCCACTTTCTGGCTACTGTGAATGGTGCTGATGTGGGCATTCGTGTATAATTATTTGAGTATCTGTTTTCAGTTCTCTTGGGTGTATACCCAGGAGTAGAATCACTGAGTCATGTACTGATTCTTTTAGATTGGGTACATTCTTTCCTGTTTCCTTTTTTTTTTTTTAATTGTTGTAAAATGTACACCACAAAACTTAACAATTTTACAGTGTCCGTTCAGTAGCATTAAGTGTACATTCACATTGTCATGCAACCAGGTACCGCCATGCAGCTCCGGAACTAACGTTTTCTCAGGCTAACACTCCATATACATGAAACAAGAATTCTCTATTCCTCCTCCTCCACAGCCTATGGTAACCACCATTCTACTCTGTCTCTATGAATGTGACTGTTCTAGGTAGTCATTCCCAAGCAGACTGATTGTCCTTCAGTAACTGGTTTATTTCACTTAGCTTGTGTTTAAGTAGATTTGGGCATACATTTAAATGTGCTTTAATCCAAAATGAGCAGAAGGTTTTTGTTGCATGTCTTTTTCCTTTTCTAGAACTAAACGTAGAGGAAAGGAACCTTGATAAGTTTCTTTTAAAATAGTCTTCTAGATTAGTGTTTTGAATCCAGTTTCTACCCAGAGAAGATTAATCCACAATCTTCTCTTTTCTTTTTTTTGAGACAGTCTCGCTCCATTGCCCAGGCTGGAGTACAGTGGTGTGATCTTGGCTCACTGCAGCCTCCACCTCCCGGCTTCAAGCGATTCTCCTGCCTCAGCCTCCTAAGTAGCTGGGACTACAGGTGCATGCCACCACGCCTGGCTAATTTTTTGTATTTTTAGTAAAGACCAGGTTTCACCACATTAGCTAGAATGGTCTCAATTTCCTGACCTCATTATCAACCCACTTCACCTCCCAAAGTGCTGGAATTATAGACATGAGCCAACATGCCTGGCCTACCATCTTTTCTTAAAGGATACTAGCATTCTTTGCCCCTACTCAGGAGATATAGGGATATGTTCAGGAATTAATATTCCTTTTTTCATCATTTTTTATTGTTGAGTTTGCTGAAGTTGGCTTGCTGGCATGTCATTTTCCAATTTGGTTAACATTTTCATGGCTGAGGACCCTGTTGTCTTTAACTATGTTGATTCTAAATTGTAAATGAGGTTGCCAATACTCTGTCATCATTGAGAGAAAAAAAAAAAATTGCATCTTAGCCTTTTGCTCTTAAGTGTAGAAACCCCAGTTCTAAGTCGGAAGTGAAGATTTTTTTCAGATCTTTTTGAGTGAGGTTTCAGGATATCATGGTCCTACCAAAGAGTGTCACATATGGATGGTTTTTGGTGATAATGGGTGCTCTCTAGTCTTTGTCTTTGTGCTCAGAACACATTGTTCTAGTCTGTTGATATCCTTTTGGGTTGATAATTTTTTTTTTTTTTTTTTTTTTGGAGACGGAGTTTCGCTCTTGTTACCCAGGCTGGAGTGCAATGGCACGATCTCGGCTCACCGCAACCTCCGCCTCCTGGGTTCAGGCAATTCTCCTGCCTCGGCCTCCTGAGTAGCTGGGATTACAGGCACGCGCCACCATGCCCAGCTAATTTTTGTATTTTTTAGTAGAGACGGGGTTTCACCATGTTGACCAGGATGGTCTCGATCTCTCGACCTCATGATCCACCTGCCTCGGGCTCCCAAAGTGCTGGGATTACAGGCTTGAGCCACCGCGCCCGGCCTTGGGTTGATAATTTCTTTCCACGTGTTCATTATTCAATACAATGTTGTCTGTGAACTTGATTAACACAGTCTATATTTTTTAATGAGTATATTGGATTAGAAATGGAAGCTTTTGAGCCGGGCGCGGTGGCTCAAGCCTGTAATCCCAGCACTTTGGGAGGCCGAGGCGGGTGGATCACGAGGTCAAGAGATCGAGACCATCCTGGTCAACATAGTGAAACCCCGTCTCTACTAAAAATACAAAAAATTAGCTGGGCATGGTGGCACGTGCCTGTAATCCCAGCTACTCAGGAGGCCGAGACAGGAGAATTGCCTGAGCCCAGGAGGCGGAGGTTGCAGTGAGCCGAGATCGCACCATTGCACTCCAGCCTGGGTAACAAGAGCGAAACTCCGTCTCAAAAAAAAAAAAAAAAAAAAAAAAAATACAAAAACTAGCTGGGTGTGGTGGCACGTGCCTGTAATCCCAGCTACTTAGGAGGCTGAGGCAGGAGAATTGCCTGAGCCCAGGAGGCGGAGGTTGCGGTGAGCCGAGATTGCGCCGTTGTACTCCAGCCTGGGTAACAAGAGCGAAACTCGGTCTCAAAAAAAAAAAAAAAAAAAAATAGAAATGGAAGCTTTTGACATTGCACCAGAAGTGTCCTAAATTGACTATGGACCATTACTCATGACCTCTAGTTTTCTACCCTATGTTTATATATTTGGAGTCATGACAGAATAACAGATCAGGTGCTGTGTTCAAATCCAGATATCTGCATCTTCTCATCATAATAAATTCAAGTTAATGTGCCTTTATATTACAAATTTTTAAAAATGCAGATCTGGCTGAAAGCAGTGGGTTATGCCTGGAATCTCCCAGCACCTTGGGAGACAGAGGTGGGCAGATCACTTGAGCCCTAGAAATTTGAGACCAGCCTAGGCATATGGAGAAACCCTGTCACTACAAAAAATACAAAAAATTACTTAGGTGTGGTGGCATTTACCTGTAGTCCCAGCTACTCAGGAGGCCGAGGTAGAGGGATCAGTTGAGCCCAGGAGCTCAAGGCTGCAGTGAGCCATGATTGCACCACTGCACTCCAGCCTGGGTGACAAAGAGCAAGACCCTATCTCAAAACAAAAACGAAAAGCATAGATCACTGTGTGAAATACTTTGCATAATTAATCTCATTTAATTATCTTACCAACTCTAGGAGACAGGATTATAAAAGTATTGGGTGCTCATTGCAAAGAATTTGGAACAGAGAGACAGGTATAAAGAAGTCACTAACAATCCTACCACCCGGCAGCAAGCATGATAAATATTCCCTTTCATTCTCTTTGCTGTATACCTCATGCAGTTTTGGACCTTGTTTCTTTCCCCTTAACCTTGTATGGTTATATATATATTTTTTCACTGCCTCCTTACCAATATAAAATTCATCATCATAATCGAGCGCTGCATGTTCTTATAAGTACTTATATCCACAGTTTCATTTGAGACCCACCATAACTCTGCAAGGAGGCATCAGGGTGCAGGTACCCATGGGCCCATTTGACAGATAAGGAAATGAAACCCAGCAAGGTTAGGCAACTTGCACAAGTCATACAGCTAATGATCAAGCTGACAAAAAGATTCAGGCCTTCTGCCTTCACTCTGATTACTCTTTTCTGTTAACCAAACAGTAGCATGGCAGAGTGCTTCCAGTAGGCTGCATGGTGACCCCCAAGATATGTGTCTCCTTTGATCCCTAGAACCTGTGACTCTTACCTTCTATGGAAAAAGCTGCAAGAAGATCTTTGATAGGAAAAGTAGATCATGAATTATCTGGGTGGTCCCTAGATACAGTCACTTGTATTCCTATAAGAAAGAGGCAGTGGCTCATGCCTGTAATCCCAGCGCTTTGGGAGGCTGAGGCGGGTGGATCATGAGGTCAAGAGTTTGAGACTAGCCTGGCCAACATGGTGAAACCCCATCTCTACTACAAACACAAAAATTAACTGGGTGTGTTGGTGGGTGCCTGTAATCCCAGCTACTTGGGAGGCTGAGGCAGGAGATTCGTTTGAACCCAGGAGGCAGAGGTTGCAGTGAGCCAAGATTGTACCATTGCACTTCAGCAAGGCAGCAATGTGACCAAGGAGGCAGAGATGAGAGAGCTGTTTACTCAGCCCAAGACTGTTCCCAGCTACCAGCAGCTGGAAGAGGCAAGGACCTGACTGCTCCCTGGAGGCACCAGAGAATGGGCAGCCCCGCCGACACTGGTTTCTCACTTCTGGCCTCCAGAATTGTTAGAAAATGAATACTTATTTTATGCCACACCCGATATATGGTAACAGCAGTCACGGGAAACTAACAGTATTTTTAAAAAATATGTCAAGAGTGATCTCATGGCTGGCTGTAGGATCAGGTAAAGATAACAAACACACACTATTCTGCCTTCTCTTGCCTTGTGCCATCAGCCCAGCCGACACACACTAACTATCCCTCTGAATCACTAGTAGTAGTAGTAGTAATATTTTTGTGGGTAAGAACAGCTATGTTGTTGGTTTCAATGAGAAAAAGACTATCAAACTCTAATTAAAGAATCTGAGGCCAGGCACAGTG